TTGCGGCGCAATAGCCGGTTGCTAGCTCTCTGGAACGATGTCCATCCGCTACTAGTGACTCACTTGGCGTGCCTCCTTTGCGGTTGTTTTTACCTTTCTTACGGATTACGGCACTATAGCTGAGGTGCTTTCCACCTCTAGCTAACGTGTATAATAAATGAATGATCTTGATCTCTTGGCCATCGCAAAGGCCGATAAACAGCACCCTATCTAGTGCTTCACGCAGGGTGGATAAGGTTTGGATGCTACTGTTCAAGCCTTGCCGTCTTCTTTCCCCTTCTTGCACCTTTTTCACCCTTGTCGTCCCGTTCCAACTTCACTTTTATCCTCCCTGTTTGCAACCCCCTAATTCTTGACCCTCCCACAATCTCACTTTAATAATCGTTTATTTCCTAGCTTCGACTCACATGCAATCGCAAGCCGTCGCTCCGGACCAGTCGACAAGTTCATGTCCAATCAAACGGACAACCTCAGTTCATCTTCTTCGATCTGGAGTCCTCGACCCTCTCTAAGATTGACATGCCTCAATGTGCACACATTGTTGCAGATTGGCCAACCGGCAGCACTAAGTCGAACACTGGAGACCCTATTAATCGATATCTGCTGTTTATCAGAAACTCGCCTGCATGATTCGAGTCCTGTAATAACACTCCGATTCCCAACGTGCGACACTAGCAGTATTTCCTCATTGCGCTTGTCAGGAAATGACACAGCTACAAATGCTGATCAAGTCGATGTGGGCACTGCTGAATCTGCGCTGATCGATTGGTTGCCAATGAACAGCCGTATGTCAGTTGGCTCGTTCAGTTCCTCAAAGTCGCGTGGGGACAAACGGTGCCTTTTTGTCATTGCGGCCTAGGTGGCCAACAACTGAAGTGCTGACTCGGTGAAAAATGAATTCTACCACCTCAGTTGAATTCTTTTCTCTCTCCTTTTTTCTGTGTATTGCGGCACAGTAGCTGAGGTGTCCCCCACCTCTAGCTAACGTATATGATGATGATGACCAACTGGATGCGCTCCTCCGTTACAGAAAAAAGTACGGATACTGTGGTGCTGGCTGGTGATTTGAACGCCCAAGTTAGAAAACTGTCCACCGATAAGCTTCATCTGGGTGGCCAACACGGTGTAGATTGCCGTAATGATAACGGTGTGGGAAGATGTCAGTCTCTTTCTAGCGAGCACTAATTTCCGATACAGTACCCATTGGAGGTCGACATGTTGCCCACCAGTCTCGATCACATCGCGATCAGTTACCGTTGGGTGTGTTTTAAAACTCGCTCAATTTGGACTATGAGCGTGGACTCTCATCACGCACTTGTTTGCGTCGACTATCGGGTGCGTTTCGGCCGACGTCTGTAATGGCGCTGTAAGTGCATAGACACCAGTGAACTGGCGAAGCCAGAATGCTGGCATCTGAGCTAAGAACCCATTAAACGAAGTTGAAGATCACTAGTCGTATATACGCCAGAGGTTATTAGTCGCAGGCATGTGTTCATGTGGCAAATCAAGACGCCAAATTAGATATTGGGTCCCCATGCAGTCTTTGGATCTTGTGGATGCTCCACGACATGTTCCGGTTGGAAGCGAATGGGAGGAGACTCCAAAGATCTCAGGGTAAAAACTGCGTGCTAGCCTGAAGTGAGGCCGCGAAACGTGGCGGTCGCTGCCCTTGATAACCACCGGAAATTATTCAGGTTGATAAGTGAAACGGACATCAGGAGATCTGGCTTAGCGAGACCATATGTGACGAGAGTGGGCAGCCGATCCACAGGTTGGCAAAGCGCTTGGAACATTGGACCGAACCTTTGAGGAGCAGAACAACCAGTCAGAGTTGTGGGCTTCGCCATCGGCCAATGATCGCGCCACTCCCTGGACCGTCATCATGAATCCGTCCTCATGCACAGAAATCGAACGTGAGATCAGACGGTTGAAATGCAGCTAGGCCGCAGGAGCAGCCTATTTCAAATTCAGAGGCCCTACTTTTTTGGACGATTTACATAAATTATTAGTGAAGCTAAGGGAGCAGGAATCTAGCCAAACAGACTGGGTGTCCCGTTCGGAATGCGGCAGTCATAGAGGAATCAGTCTGAACTTAATTGCCTCTGTTACATCACTCAGTCGTCCTCCATAAACTAACTGGCACCTGTGAAAGCCATATTTGCGAGGAACTGATGTCAAAAGTGTCCCTGCGCTCCTTATTGTGAATAAGGGCGGCCGCACTGTCTCTGATTGTCTCACTGACGTCTAGTTTCCTGGGACCAGTGGTAATGATCAGCTGGGAGAGCTTGCGGTAAGTGCCTACTGCTCCTGCCTCCTCCATTTCTTTAATCTGACTGGTCCACCAAGCTTCCTCGTCAGCACGCAGGCTCGGCTTTTGTTCACGCCTAATATTCCGTCTGGTCATATTATGCTCAGAGCCAGCCGAGAGGTTTCTTCTGGTTTCCAACAGGTTCACTGATCTCTCGGATATCCAATGACTGGTGTGGTGATGATTGAAAGTGCCGCAAGCAGAGGGTTCCGCGTTGTGCATGGCAGCCGAAATACTATTCCACTGAAGCACAGTGTCATTAGGACAAGAAATCGAAGGTTCGGGGCGCAGAGCACTCTGGTAGCATTGTGTGACCGAGGGTTGGAATAACTCCCCAGTTTCCAATGAAAGTAGAAGCTTGGTACGCCGTGGCACCACGGGGTACTACTAAGAAACAGTAGGGGCTCCGTGCACTGTTGTAACAGACACGCTGTTGTCCGTCCGGTCATACTTACAACCTAGCTGAGCTTCTGAAGAGTCAAACCGACCTACTTGTGCATTCATATGCTTTGCAGCAGCAACGACATCTGAACTGATAACACTGCGAAGAGGCGTCTTCATTTCGTGGTAGGTTTCCTCGGCAGCAACAGAACTGCGAAAACAACCAATAATCAGGGTCTTGTACTACTTCGTCAAACAGGCTGCACACAAACAGTTGTTCACGGGAATCTCATTAACTAACGACGACTTACCCTTGGAACTTAGAATGATGCCTACCCCAGCTTGACCATAGAGTACCGCATCAGCATCACCGTATGCGTGCAGCCAATAGCGAGGACAACCCGGGGGAAATTAATTCAACAACCCCGTGAGGATGATTGATCCTAGTTTCGGACGCGTCATACACGTAAATATCCAGCGTGCTCAATGTGCGCGCGAGTGCAATCTGTCGATCTATTCGAACGTTGAACGCCGCCATGGAAACCGGACAGTGGCATTATCAGGATCTGTTGCCAATAGACGTCCAGCGAGCGATGTGGAAAGGTAGCTGTAGATGTTTCGACTCCAGTAGTATTGCGGCTGCTGTCAAATAAGCTTGAAATTATAAAAGAAAGGTTTATAATCATAGTCCGGAATTGAGTAAGAGAAACAGATGGAAAAAAAGAAGGGAGACGATAGCAGTGGCATGTTATCGATTATCCGCCTTGCTGCATGCAGCAGATAAGGCGAGCCTTGATAAACTATGCGACGGACAATGGAGGATGCGGAAGTTTGAGGAAACAGCTATAGTTGTACGTGGGTTAAGGTACTGCCATGGTGCCCAGACCTAGACAGGAGCATGACTAGGGTGCTCAAGCAAAGCCTCTAGCTCAAAAGCCTATCTGCAAGGCAGCGAATGAGTGAGGATGCTTTGGTTTTATAGTAGTGGATGCCATTCAATTTCCAGACTGAATTTGTCTGACCTCTAATCACTGACCAACCTGGTAGGAGTAGCTCGCAGGGGGGCCTGGGACACCACCTAGTACTGCTTATTGGGTCGAAGATGTACGAAAACCATCGCACAGGGTAAAGGTCCATCCTCGTTGTGATGGCATATTTCGGTCAATTGACGGGCACGTCATACGCAAACTCGAACAGCAATGTTAGCATTCCAGATGCCTGCGTTAAGGAGACGCAGTCAGTTTTCCGTTTCACGTTTTAGGCTAGTTCAACCGGTGGCCGAGTGGTCTGCGCGCCTGGTTTGCAAACATAAGTACCGGTTCTAGTCTGCGTAGGGGCGGGCGTTCTCGCAATATACTCAGTCCGCGCTTGACTGGCAATGGTCGCGTGGCAACGAAGCGCCGTTACGGCGTACAACTGGCGATTCATTTTTTTACATTCCCTTTGTTAGATAAAGGATTTGTGGGGCACTAAGGTTCCTCTCTCTAGCAAGCCCATATGCCGCTGAGTCAAAGATTCACGCGGGCATGCATCAACCAGATATGCAGACAAACGTGCAGATCGGTTGTGACCGACAGGCCCAGTAGCAACAAGCGTTGATTTGTTATCAACCATCCATGTTGTGAGTAAACAAGGCGCGGTGGATCCAGTTGCTTGACGACAGTATTATATAAGTGCAGGGGAAAACAAAAAACTTGGTGGCTGAGTTAAAGCTTAGAAGCAAATATTTACTTTAGTTGCCGTGTTCTGAACACTGTTGTGCTATGAATTAAGTCAATAACAGGATGATGAGAGTAAAAGTAACAATCAGAATGAAAATGCTGATATATGCCGATAGAGCCCCATTGGTAAATGGATGAGGAAGCAAATATCGCACAACCGAATGATGGGGCCAACAACAAAGAGCCAGAGACCATACGCGAGTGTACAAGGTGGCCCAGGGCTGCTCCACAGAGTTTACAAGCTAAGGTCAACTGGCGGATATCCGCATTTTCCGGTCGCACATTAAATGTAGGCAACTCCACATATACACCGGTGACAAACGATCCCTGAAAGCCTTTAGTACGCAGTGACTGTCACAGTAACAACGATGTACGTCTTCTTTAAATGATAAGCCAAGATTGTGCAGTATCCATAGATGAATGAAGCTTGAAAAGTTGCCCCGACCTTACCGATGAGCACCAAGGATGATGTAGTTACCCAAAGAACATTACCAGGAGAATTAGGTTCGGTTGACATTGGCGATTAGATGTCTGGATTGCAGTTGTCAGATGAACAAAACTGGAAAAACGATAACAGGTGCCGCGTTGTGGCCGGGGAAAGTGCGAGAAATCATTGTTGCTATAGATGAAACATATGTACAGCGAGTGGAAATCAATCCAAATGGCAATTTCATATACACTACGAGATATCCAAGGGAAGATATCTCAACAATCCGCTTTTGACATAAGTTCAGAGAGCGAAACAGGATGCCAACCGCCGTCCGTGGGATTGTAGACAAAGCTGACGTTGCGGTCGAAGAAAACATGCAACCGCTCCAGACGGTACACTTGTTGTCCCTCGAACAGACGGTTTGGGATCGGATGAAACGCGAATCCACGCTGAGCGGCGATTTGTTCCACCTGTTTCCGCAATGTGGTTGGAGGCGGGGCAACGAGAGGAGCAGAGGTGAAATTACTCGTGAGCGGGGCCGCTCTTACTGGCGCAGTGTAGTGACTTGCGTCCGTGGCCACATTTGGTTTTGGTTCCTGTAGAAAATAGGTCAGAACGACCGTGGGGATAGTGAACCTATCTGATCAATCGGAATCGGATATCAACAGTTCGTGATATGATTTTATCAATGACGTTTATTGGCTTTTTAGAGACGCCGTGTAAGGGTCGTCTATTATTATTATAACGTGTCTGGTTGCTCACTAACTAATGCGCATGCTAAATTAAACCGTTTATCTAAGATGCAATACATTACACTTAAAACTGAAAATGATCAAACAGTCTCGACCGACTATGACAGCCAGCCATCTATCGATGTCCTTCAAAAGGCTGTGGCAGAATCGGACCGCTTCGCTCTGCACAGTAGATGCACGAGGGTGGCAGGGGATGTAATACCCTTTCCCTATCTTCACTCCATGATACGTTTTATTTACACACGGGAGGTTGCGTGTGTCTTTAGCAACCGAATGAAACGAAACTGGCAAAATGCATATATTGCCCACTGGGGTGAATTTTCCACATAAGCTGGCACGCGTTCTCAGTCCGCTACAGCTGAATCCAGTTGATGAATATGCGTTTCATACGTTACGTTGCATCAATAGCATATTCTGTATTGGGTTTGAAAAGGAAGGATTCAGGTATCAGCGGTACGCTCAGCTGACGTTCAGCCTGCAAGTAACCATCAGCGGTTGCTTACGGACTAGGCTTTTGCTAGGTTCGAATCGACGGATGGTAAATCGCAGGCCAAACGGCTGAAACCTGCAGTGTTGTTCAAATTTGCCTCGAAGTCGCGGATGGACTGTAAAACGAGATCAGCAAAGCTAAACAGTTAATGCCTCTGCGCTAAACTGGGAGCATACAGTAGGAAGGTATAAAGTCATTGTTGACTTACTTGGGGTGGGAGTCCACGCATTGCACGTTCCATCATCGCCAAAGCTTTTGTGAGCGAGTCTTTGATGCCCGCATATTCCATGCACTCTGGTGGTAACTGACCTTTCCATCCCGCGTACCATCGCCCAACTTCTTGGTACACTTGGCCAGCGGAAGCATGATCTCCGCGTCGTTTAGCCTCAACACCTTGGTTGAGCCAATTGGACAAAACAGTAAGCCAACGCGGCAAAAAGTGCTGTTCCAACAGGTTCACTATCACAGCCGGGCCGACCAAGTCAGCCCAACGCATGACCCATGTCCATCCGTCCATGTTTTGTGAAGCAGGGTTAAGCTGTAACAATGAATTAAGGTGGGGATATAGATTGGTATTGTCTTTAGCACGAACCAGTTTAACTCATCCCATGTTATTATTGAGTTCAGCTGTTATTCCACAACGCGTTTTAGAAGTCGGGACACTAGTACAACCATGAATGACACGAATGAGGAGTATGGTGAATACAATAATCTTCAGAACAAATAAACCCCGCGTCGCTTAAATTGCGGCTGGTCCAAACATCTGTTTATGAAGATTTCCTGTTTCACGGTGGCCATCGAACAACACGTTACTAAGAGCGATGTTAGCCCTTTTCAACAGCACGTCACCTATAAAAGCTGGAATAAGCACGAAGAATTGGAAATAAACGAGTGCGATAATCGAAGCGAGAAAGCACAAATGCGATGCAGGTACATGACGAACAATACACTCGCTGCTTAATTCTCCTTAGTTATCTAAGGACGATAAGTGCTCACATTACGGTCAGGGGCCTTAAGCACATAGAACATTGCTGATTTGTCCTTGAGCCTGGGAGAAGGCGAGTGTGGCTTCATGCTAGTTGTTTTGCTTCGGCAGAAACGCTATCCAATACACTGACATTGATCCAAGAGAGGCATCAAACTGGTAGACTCGACTAGATAACATCACTTGGCCAGCTGGCCCAGATAGAAAAAAAAGATTGGTGTGCGGATAAAGGGGAAGCAAGATCGCGAGACAATAATAAATGGGGCTGATTCGTTGCTATAGCTAGCTTCTAGCATAGCACTATGTGGATCTGGGAGCGCATCCCAACAATCGCGAGACAAGCTGGAATATAAAGCCCGTGAAGGGGAGACAAAATATGAAATATGGCAAGTGTCCATTGGATAAACATTTTTCTGACATTTACTAGACACCGGATTTCGTTTCGCTATCGTTTATTTACTGACATCTCTTTTGATGCAGTATTTTTTATAAATTGGACTGGCTAGCATACATCGTCCGCAACGGATGTTTTCTTAGGGTCCCATTTTGTTATCACGGTTTTCTCAGACATACGTGATTGGTTCTGACATTTATCGTGTCATTCGATGCCTCCTGTGTTGTTGGTTGGCCCTGATGTGCTTTAGCAGCTTTACTTCTACCACTATCGTATCTTACAATGGAAGCAGTATCCTCACGCATACAATTCTGTCCCGGCTCGTCTACTATGTTCCCATTGCGGTCGTGGGGTTCGAATGGATAGTGGCGATCCAACACTGACATCAAGCTCGTTCGATCTATTTACGTTATTTCGTAAGGACAGTTAATTTCATGTGCTACACTGCATCCGGCGTAAGATGGAATGAGGCAGTTTACTCCAAGTGGGAAACGGACGAAAAAAGACAGAGCAAACCGATCTGAAAGCAATAAAGTTTCGTGAACTTCAGCGTAAGAACCTAAAACACACCACGAAAAAGTATTGAGGTCAAGCAAAACTAACATGCCTTACCTTAAACTGTTGAAGAGTTAAACTCAGCTTTGGGACAACATGCCGATTCAGGAACGCGGACATGGCCCCGATTGACACAACACTACGCCATGGAGTTAGAATTGAATGTGCAGACCCATCGCTAGGATGCCAGTTGGTCAGACACGTTCCCAGTTTCTGCAAAACAGCATCATGCACACCAGCCAAATGTTCGGCTCCTCCAAACCACGGTAGCCAAGGGTGAAGCCAAGTATGTATTGGGATGGTGTCCGTGAGTGGGTTCCATTTCGAAACAGCATCCTGAAAAGCATGGATAGCAAGCGATAATCATGAACGTTAGGCAATTTCGGATGCACCATGCGGCTGCACATCACCTTACGATTAGCGGTTGTTGTGTTTGACCAAAACACCTACGGATGCGCAGAACAGTGCCAGCAGCTACAAAAATGTCTAGTACGTGAGATTAAAGTTCGGTAGGAGGCCGTTCTTTGAATGTTTATGAACTGCCAAATGAACGCACATGTTTTTTGAGCTAAAGGTGTAGGTGAGCTCCACTGAAGACAACGAAATAGGGACACTTAGAATCTAGTTATGGGGGATTCGCCGAATAATCGAACGATCAGCCATCCAGTTTATTAAGTGTGAGTATATCTAAGTCAATTTAGGAAGCCTGTCTTGGCAGGATACTTCGGTCTATACAGTAACAGGGGAGCTAACTCTCAAGAGGATTTGCAAACGACCTAAGAGATACAGTCAGTCGCGGCTCGTGATTGCACAATGAAAAAGTCTTGCTACAGAAATTGAATGGGACCGCGCGTTACAAAACAAGTGCTGGAGAGAGGAACCGCATGGTAAAAATGCTTATTCTATTGCATCGAGGTACTGAAAAGTATGGAAACAATTCATCATCATCAACAACAACAGTACATCAGCCATTTGAACTGATGCTTCGCTGCCATACAACCATGAGGACCTATGAAATAAAAAATAAGAAGAGAAAGGGGGACTTACCTGAAAACTAGCCCTAAGCAAACATTCAGGGTCAAGGCGCCTACACCTTGTGTCAACAACCTACCGTCACAAACAGCTGGCTATCGTGCAAAGATAAGGCGGCATCGGCGAGACAGCTTCCTTGCGGCTTTCACTACCCCGCGTCATAATCAGCCATTACCCCGCAGATAACTCAGCACCAAACACACTTCAAACAGGCAATCCGATTAGGAGACGGTAGCAGACGCGCCACTGGTGTCGGTTACGAGGCATGTCCTGTAAAGTCTCGAGCCAAGCACAAGGCGAGTCACGTGGACTCCAGCCCGGAAGGCAAGACGGACCAACGGCACCCAGTTTGGTCGTCAGTGACTTCATTTCCGGCTGCCAAGTCAACTTCTGTCCACCGCGAGCCTGGCGCCACCCTACACCTGGCAGACTAAACAAGGCCCTCCTAGGTAAGCGGTGACCAGGCATACGTAACACGTGCCCGAGCCAACGCAGCTTATTCAGTGCTATCTGTTGTTCTAGCGAGCTAGCATGATTATTACCACCTAGTATTCGCCTGCGCATATCATCGTTGCCGACACGCTGGTGCCATCCGACACCAGCAATGCTTCGCAAACAACTGTGATCAAAAACTTGAAGGCGCCTCAGATCTTCAGACCGAAGGGGCCAAGTCTCACTACCATAGAGTAGAACAGTCCTCACTGTGGCCTTGTATATACGGCCTTTCAGACGGAGGGAAACTCCCTTCTGTCGCCAAAGATGCCGCAGGTTCAAGAAGGTAGTTCTGGCATTTGCAATGCGTGAGCTGACGTCAATTTCTATGCGCCCATCATTGCTGATGCAGCTGCCAAGATAAGTGAATTGATCAACCAACTCGAGTTCCTCGTTAGCAAGCGTCAAGGGGTCAGAAAGTGGCTGGTGGTCCTGCAGCAACACTTTGCACACTGGAGGTGCGAAGTGCATACCAAATAATGGGACCACACTATACAGGCTATTCAGGGTTGATTGTGCCGCCTCAACATTGTCGAAAAGCAAGACGATATCGTCCGCATAATCTAGATCAACTAACCTTTCACCAGGCAGCACTTCAACACCTACATCGTGAGATTCCGCAAAAGAACAATCCATGATAGAATCCACGACGAAATAGTAGTAAAATGGGGAAATCCGACAACCCTGACGTACGCCACTTGTGGGTGGAAAGCCATCCGATAGGACACCGGAGACCCTGACGCGGCCTATAGTGTTCGAGTATACAGCACGAAGGATGTTCACATATTTCGTGGAAACACCTTTCCGCGCAAGTATTTCGAACAGAATCGATCGATCGACTGAATCGAACGCACTCTTGAAATAGAGGAACACAGCTATTGTCGGTCTGCGGTATGCGTGGCGCTACTTTAGCACCTGCCGCAATGTAAATATGTGGTCTATACAGCCGCATCCTAGGCGGAAACCAGCCTGCGCTTCCCTAATCCGAGATTCCCGTTCCGCAGTGAGGCAACAAACAAGAATCGAGACCAATTATTTTGACGCAACTGGCGTTAGGCTAACACCCCTGTGGTTAGAACAGTCTGTGCCACTGCCCCTCTTGTATATTGCCACTATAATCGATTCGCTCCAATTAGCCGGGACACTCTTCCTTCCAGATACATACGAATAAGGTCAGTGCTTTGCAGAGGATCTTACCTCCATCCTTAAATAGTGCAGGTGGGAGGGAATCCGGGCCAGCGGCACGAAAACGATTGAGGGCTGTAATCGCGTTTCGGACCTCGGCTTCCGACGGAGGATCTAAACTAACCGTCCATGGCTCGTCCTGCATCACCTGAGTAGGAAGAGGTCCGGGAGCAGGGGGCCAGCTGAACTGATCTTGAAAGTGTTCCGTCCAACGAGCAGCACGACGCTCCTTATTGTGTATCAGCGCACTCGCGCTGTCCCTGATTGTCTCACTGACGCTTGGTTTTCCTGGACCAGTGGTGCGAATTAGCTGGAAGAGCTTGCGGTAATTGTCTACTGCTCCTACCTCCTCCATTTCTTGAGCCCGACTGTTCCACCAGGCTTCCTTGTCAGAACGTAGGCTCCGCCTTTGTTCACGCCTAATAGCCCGTCTGGTCACATTGTGTTCAGAGCCAGCGGGGAGGTGCCTTCTAGATTCCAACAGGTTCACCGAGCTCTTGGATATCCAGTGAGTGCTGCGGTGACGACTGGTAGTGCCACAAGCAGATGCTCCTGCGTCGTGCATGGCGGCCAAGATCCTATTCCACCGAAGCTCAGCAGAAGTTCGGTGTGCAGTGCTTCTTGATAGGCTTGCCTGACCGAGGACTGGGACACTTAGTGCGCCTTCCGGTAAAGTTCATGGAGAAACGACAACGTACCAAGGCATGATCAGAGTCGACACAGGTACTCCAGTACGAGCGGAAGTCCAGGATGGAACCACGCCATCTGTAACTTATGGCAATGCGGTCAATTTGCGTCCATCGCTGGCCCGCTACAAGAGGACGCCAAGTGGCACTTCGGCGCCCACTGTGTCTAAAAGCAGTGCCACTAAGAAACAACTGGTGCTCCGCACACAGTTGCAGCAGACGCTCACCGTTGTCAGTCCGTTCGGAGTTAAGCCCACATTTACCACCTAGCTGAGCTTCTGAAGAGCTCAGACGCCCTACTTGTGCGTTCATATCTCCTGCAAGTACTTAAATATCTGAACTAGTAGCACTGCGTAGTAGCGCATTCAGTTCGTGGTAGAATGTGTCCTTGACAGCATTTGAGCTGCAATCGGTGGAAGCATAAGCGGAAATCACGAACAAACAGCGTCCTTTACTACTTCGTGACTCCACCTTAACTGATGTCGTCAAACGGGCTGCACATAAACGGCTGTTCACCGGAATCCAATCAACCAACTATGGCTCAGCCTTGAAGCTTGGAATGATACCTATACCAGCTTGACCCGTGAGCGCTGCATTGGCGTCTCCGGATGCATGCAACCAATAACGAGAAGATAAGCCGGGTGCAGTTAATTCAATAACCAAATTAGGGTCATTGGTCCTAGTTTCGGACACACAACACACATCAATACCCAGTGTGTCCAAGGTGCGTGCGAGTGCAGCCTGTTGACCTGTTTGTCTTAGGAAATGTCATCGACATAACCACTGCATATACGCCCTATCGCTAGAAAGACAAGAGATTCCAACTGCAGCCGCAAGGGAAACGTGAACAGTGCACGATATTCTACGACTAAGGTGTATGTGCTGAGGAGAAAATGTCAATCGACCTTTATTCTCAATCTCTGCTGCTCCACCATTACTTTCTGTTTTTCGTTTGTTGTTATGTTTATATAGAAGTTTTTATTACGCTGCAGCACGAGTGGGTTGTCTGTTTTAGCGCAAACGTCACGTTGTTGGCCATCACACCCTTGATAGTAGCGCTGACAACGAAGATTGACTTCTCACGTTACGTGAGAACAGCCGCCTCTATCTTTCGAGCACGAACTTCAGATATAAAAAGAGACGCGCAAGTACCCGGCGTTCCTCTTTACCAAATAAAGCGTGGTCACTGTAATTAGCTCCAGATCGCCTGGCAGTGTACGGGAATGCAGACCTATTTGGTTCATCTACCTTGACTCCGATCACGCCTTGGCCTGTGCGGACATGTGCATGCTCTTTGGGGGGTTTTCTCGAAGCCTAAGCACCGTATGCTAGTTAGCAATAGGCTAGCTAACTCCCGCTTTCAATTGGTTTATCAACCTTTCTCATCTGATTCGTTCGCTAGTGCTCCACGTGTGCAAGTTAACGGAAGATAGTTCACGTAGACATTAAGGAGACAATATAGGAAACCTACTACCTGAAATAGAGACCCAGCATGCAAGCAAGTGGTTAGTAAATCGAATGCAGTGAACCCACAAACGCTGCCCCGGTTCTGCCTTCGTTCTCTGCAAGACCTGTCATCGTTTCGGTGTTGGCCCCGAGTGGCCTCGATCATGGCTCACTAGGCCTGCTTGACTCAGGCAATCGCGACCGCATGCGCTACAGCACCATGCGCTCGATGTCGATGGAGTACAGCCCCTGCCTGCCGCCTGCTGCTTCCGCACTTGCCGCGTCTTCTCCACATGCATGAGGGCTTTCTCCTGCACCTCGGCAACTATCTTCCTGATCACATCGCACCATGCACGCCGATCAACCGCCTTCGATTCCCATGACCTGCAATCAAGATTAGAACGTGAGAGGCTCACTTTGATCATACCCTGGTAATGAATCTTCGGTTTCCCCACATGCCGCTTCCCCAAACTCAGTTGACCATATAATATCTGTTTCGGTATGCGCGTCGAATCCATACGCCACACATGACCGAGCCTCCTCAGGTGCCGCAGCAAAAGTATGCAGTGCACTGCATACATTCCACTTTGGCGCAACACTTTCGTGTCTGCAACTCTGTCGCATCAACAGATGAGCATATGGATAGGCCATGGTTAACCCATGCCAGCCTACTGAATCCTTGGGCCTACACTGTTTGTGCGATCAGGGTCTGGGTGGAGAAGGGGGAGGGGCCAGTTGATGACTGGGTCAATAGGAACGAAAGCTCTTGCTTCCGACTTGGCTTCGGTTGGTGCATACCGACTCCATGATTAGAGTCCAAAAAACGATGGACGCACTTGATTGGAGACATCGGTTGACAAAACCAAGAACCGACCTCATTGGCGTTTGTACAGTGAGTTTCTTTGTCCATCCCCCTCCGCTTAGCCTTACCCTACAATCACAAGATAATACATAATACTATACTTGTTCTGCTTTTGTTTTCCCTTTGCATTCCTTTTTTACTACCATCTATAACTGGATTGTATTGCGGCACACAAACTGTGGCGCTCCTCGTCTCTATCTAACGTGTAGAATAGTGGTGATACAGTTCAGAAGCTTGGTGCAGAATTAGTGGCGGGTAAACCAAGTGATACAAAGGATGCGATAAGCAATAAATGTGATACTTGTAGGGAACTTACATGCAATTTAGGTAATACCAATTCATGCAGGATACGCAGGAGCATTTGGTCTGGAATGAGAGGACGCCAAATTTCTAGAACATCCAGTAAAGGTTCGCAGTCTCGAGGATCCCAGTCATTAACGATAGTGCGACGGAGTGTGGTCAGCCAGTTCGTCTCGAGCACAACATCGAACGCAGATGTATCTTGGAAAAAATCCCGCCATTTGGACAACAGTTGAAAGCAAAAGTTGGGCTCCTGCAAAAACGACATGACACAAAATAGAGTCGTTTCATTGATCGACCTCCGGGGTACTGTGCGTAGGAGCCGGTATATCCGCGAGTGGCTATAGTGGGGTGGACGCTCGAAACAAGTACGTAAAAGTGAAACGATATCAGAAAGCCAAAGGGAACCGCGACTCTCGTCAACCAAACCTACCAGAGTAACCGTCATGAGGTTGTATCTGACCTAGAGTGGAAAATGCTATTTGTGAGCACCAGATAATGGTAGAATCATGTACGGTGTTCGACGGTTCTATGGTAGAGAAGCACTACCGCAAAGTATTGGTGTATTGCTACTGTTGAATACTCATCAGTAGAATCAAACAACGATTCATTTGGGAGGGCACACACCGTGTGCCCCATCGGCCGGGGAAGTTTAGCCAGCACCGAAATTCGATAATTGCCAAGGGGCATATGACCACAACAATAATGATGGCTAATAAAGTAGAAAAATAGTGGAAAACACAAACATACGGACAAACATCCAGGGAAAACGAATGATAAAAAGTTGGGAGGAAATACTAACAGCAGCAGACTGAATGCGAAAGTGCCATTGGCTCCGTAAATCTCTAGACAATGGCATGTGGCAGAACCCACGGACTCCATCGGGAGAGACAGCACACGATAGCTCCACCAACTCGTTCGGTCACTTTAGCCATAACTGACGGACCATTTTCAGGATGCATACAACGGACTGCACACACCGAAGTATACAGTCGATGTGCATAGAAGAATTTAACCTGGAGAACGCAGACGGTTGCAATGCGAAAGAAAATGCAGTGCGGCACCGGAGGGTATTTTGAAACAAATGTCAAATAGTAAATCTCGACATCACCTACTCAGTTCTCCCAACAGAAATAAGTGACAATATGTAAGCAGGAGCTGTCGAGTACAAGCAATTTCGTTATCCTCAAGGTGCAATGACCTTGTGCACCGTAGGTTATTTTGATGGACAAGCAGTCTCGGTTTGTGATTGTTGGTATGAAAGTCATACCCGTCATTCCGATAAGCCTAGTGACCCTCCCAGGACTATGACCACTAGAGACGGCGCAACTACGTGGGTTTGTGAAATGTCCGACTACGTTATGTGGTTGTTCGGCATAAACTTAATTAAGCAACAGTATGCTGAGTTCCTGATGTTCGAAGCACATATTAAAAGTATGGAGATTAATGCTTGTCTTTTCATAGGCGCTTGAAAGGGGGTTGTACCTGACTCAAAACTAAAACTCCCTTGTGTTGGAACTTTGCAGTTTGATCCTCCCAAAGTACCACTACAATGGAAGCATGAAATAAGTGTGTTCAATGATTCTCGATTGCTAGATGAAGGAAGGAAACGGTAGTCCTGACGCACCGCACTTATCTCGGCAAGATCAGTGGACTTTCCTGAATACGCCTTTGCGATTTGTGATAATAAGATGGAAGTCGTATTGATGAATTTGCTTTACAAAGGCACAAATTTGCAATTTTTCATCATGTATTTACTCATCTGGTAAGCATATTCCAACTTTCATATTCAATGTTCATCTATGCACGACCATTCACAGTATGATCTTCGTTTGTCCGCATCCCTGTGGTTAATTAATGCAGTTCGTCTACAAACCACTGCCGTGCGCTTCATCGTCAACATGTCCACTGTTGTCTACTGCTGTCCGTTACACCGCTGACCCGGGGTACAAACCGTTGGAATTGTTTTCTATCACTTTTGGACAACATTGAAGCTACGTCTACGAATCCAGTCGTGAGTCACTTCTCTACATTTAAACTTACTGTTATAAGACCAGGTTTTCCGATTTCCGCTACACCAAGGTTAGCTTGTCTTGGGAAGCAAGCCAAAACGCCGACTTGAGCGTTGGACCGAGCATACTGAGTAGCAGTTTAATTGGAAAGCAGCACCGATGTGTTCCCATTCTAAAACCAAGAGTGCTCCCAGTTGTGTCGACGCTTCTGAGGCTGAGGTCACCCATGAGCTTCGCCTCTTAAAGAGCTACAAAGCCCTTGGCCCAGAGGAACTCCCTCTGGTTCTTTTCAAGGATGGAGGCCCATCACTTGTTCGGGAGTTAACTTACCTCCTCCAAGAGATTTAGGCCACCGAAGCCTAGCGGATATCAAGCCATCGTGCGTAAGGCTAGGCATATAGAGTACGCTGTTTCATCCACTGGCACTTACTGTGGATACCAGTATGCTGAATTAAATGCCGATAACCAAAGTTGCTCGACTACCATTTCAGACGACCATTCATTGATTTGCTACCGAAAAAAATGAGGAAAGCCAGTCACCACCTATAGTGTCCCACAAGGAAATGCAATCGAGCACGGAAGCATGTCACTATTATACAGTATGAGTTCACCTGATTCCACATTGATGGAGTAATGATGTATGGACATTAGAGGATAACTGGCAGCAGCAGATGTACGATGTCACCTTAAGCATGTGCTGCACTGAGGTACAGTCGATGGGCAATGATTGTAATTGGCGCTCACTGATGTCCGTTCGATTGGCTTGGAATCCCAAATTGCCAACTTAGGCATGTACGCAAACGGCTAGAACGATACCTCCAAGTGTTATAGGTGGATGCCAACGAGAATAATGCGCAGCATCACCGTAACGTAGTTAACAAGATGCTTATCTAGTGGAAAGCTTACCGACGAATAAAGATGGCAAATCCGGCCCAATAACAATGACTGCCACCTATCACCGTGATTATCGCCTCAGAGTAATCAGAAGTGCAGTGAGAGTGGTGTATTAATGGGCGTGGTAAAGCGAGGTGGTCTACGTCAGAACTACGGTTTGTATTCCGCCTGTCGAGGAGCACAGTATGCATCAGCTTCTGGATACGATGGGATGAATGCGCCGCCTCGGGATGGTGAAACAGCGAGATGGTGACACCCGCATAGTCCAAATCAGCCAATCTGAGGAGAGAAGGTTCACAACTAAGGGCAAAAAGACAAGGCATTGGTGGAGGAGTTTATCTCATTTGTTCGGTCCGAGAGTTTCATGAGCTCTAATCATTGGTCCCCTTATCTGATTGACGGAGGGAGTATTCATGAGGTGAACACTGCTGCTGTTCAAGCACAATGTGGAATGGCAGGTGACTCTTGTAAAGTGATGACTAATGTTCAAAGAACAAACTGACTTTCTTCAGAGCCCATCGGAAGTCTGATGTATGCACGTGTGGCAGTCAAACTTCCTGAGTGTACAACAGTCGATATGACAAAATGCAAATGTCAATGCAAATGTAAGTATTGGGACACCAACTTAACACACAACCAAAAGATTTAAATGAATAAAATGTGTCAGCTTATACGCTGTAACGGCGCTTCGCTGCCGCGCGACCACCACCAGTCGCGCGCGGGCTGAGTATACCGCGAGGACGCCCACCCCTACGCGGATTCGAACCGGTGACCTTATGGTTGGAAAGCAAACGTGCCAACCACTCGGCCACCGGCCGACCAACCAAAGGATTACTCCAAAGAGTCTCACCATCTTTCTTCGCATGGTTAGCATCATGGAGTGAAAGGCAGTACTCCAGAAAGAATTAGTAAATTTGAACGCACAATCAAACTGAAGAAACTGGATCTGAAGTGAGCACGAGTGAGCCAGAAAGAAAACAACAGTGCTATTGGCTTCTGATTGCTCTGTCTGGAAGAAATTGGGTGTTTAACTTGGTGCGACGGTCCGCGTAGCGCTGTGACTCATCGAGATACTACGAGTAGTGAAGCACAGTAAATAGAGGGGAGCTTTAAATAGGACATACGAGTAAGGGGGATTCACAGAGGTTTATTGTGATCCGGCTACTACTTAGAAAACGTCCTAAAACAAGCAAGAGCGCCTGCCTCTTACCGCCCAGAATGAACAATCAACAATGCTAAGTACAGTGCTGATGAGTGCTATTTAGCACAAATTCCAAGACACCGTGAATGTGTACGGCGTGATCAAACTACACAAAAGCAAAGGTACAACACCAGCAATGTTTATTAGCCAGTTACATTTGGACTCCATTAAATTGGGGAAAAGTACAGGTGTCTTAATCCAAGCCGGCTGAACGCGTCAAGTTATGAGCGTGGCTCCTACAGCACCCAAAGACCTTGTACTTAGAGCTGCTAAGGGGCTGGGACAGTTATTAAAATATCATTAATAAACAGCATACTAACAGTGCGACATACAGACACTGGTTGTGATGCCACAAAGAAATAGCTGCTAGATGACAGATGAAATCTCGACATTTACCGACAAGGGTTTCCATCCGTTCAAAGAGGTATCCAACATCGGTCTTGCCATGGCAGCCATCAAAACAGGCATTTCCGGTAATTCTGCACATGCTTCTTTCACTCTGTTCATCCAGGAAGCGATAACATCTGGTGAGAGTCCCCCTTCCATACGTTTCATGTGTTCTTCGAATTGGGCGATCAGATCGAGGGCTACCTGCAAGCGTCTTGCTTCCACTGATTCCGTTTTGACAAACTACACCAAAAAGGAGCGTGTACAGTCCGAAAATTTGGAACTACAGAAACAGAACAAAAATTGATGCAAATTGTACTGAAGCACCCCACAGAAGTTTAGAATAGATGCACGTGCCAAAGCGCGATCCCGTCAGACGGCAGTGTGTGCCAAGTAAAAGTAATGTTTTATCGTGAGCTCATTTGAAGTACATGCTGCGACAAGCGATTTCAAGCTGGACTGTGACTAAGGATCCTCGTCGGTTCTACCAACGTGACCGTATTTGAAAGGGATGAAGATGAAGTGTTGCTCGCTGGTAACACTGAAATTAGCGACCGGTTTCGTAATTGCCTGCCCTTGTCGGGTAGCTAAGGCAGAACATCGAGACATGAAGACTACCGGCTGAGACGCTTACTTATACGCCACCGAGCCGTGGATAATGCTAGTTAGTTAAAATATGAATGTGAAGTCATTTACTGGCCATCGGCCGGCTACTGCGGTCAACAAGGCGGAGAAGGTAGAAGACCAGGGTAATTCAGTTTGCCTTGACTCATGTCACCAAAATAGTAAAGCTAATAAACAAGAATACGGAAACATCAAGATTAACTAATATATTACAGAGATCATGGGTCAGGAGTAAAGAGACAAGTGCAAGAGTCACTACTTCGTGTCGGCCCAGTCCAGTTTAGGACTTTCAAGGTGCTAGGCCAATAACAAAATGTGCGGGGCAACAAGTCACGAACCATATAGCAAAAGCTCGATGCGCTTTTGCTAATCGCCACCTGTGGCACCGGCGTGACATTACTCTCGCTCTGAAGGGCAGAGTTTACAATGCAGTCATATGTACAACCCTCCTGTATTACTTGAAATATTGGCCTAACAATCAGCAGACAAAGAGCTTGTTACACTCGATCGTCGGTGCCTTCGCAGCTTAGCTCATGTCTGGTGGATGCACCGCGTGAGCAATGAGCGTGTTCGACGCCGCATATTTGGTGCAGGAAGAGCAAGTGAACCGCTCAGCACCGTTTAATCACGCACCAGGCTCCGATGGCATGCCAGCACACCGACTCCAGCGATGTGCGTTTGCGCGCCGGTAATGGATGGAAGAAGAGGAAGGGTAGCCAAGCGATGACTTGGTCAAGAAGAATGAAATCATTCACTGCAAACTTGGCGTCTCATGATGTTTCCCGACTGCCTGGTAGGAGACCGAAAGATGATGAACACGTTTGGTTGGAGACACTAGCCGACATGGCAGAGTCGACTTTAATGCATCTGTGTTGCGGCTCTGCTCCTCACTTTTAGCTTCCCCCTCCAACAACGAGCACAACTGTGATATTAGCATTATGTTACCTTTTTACAGTTTTTAAGTTTACATTGGTTAATGTGTCAACAGGCTGGCTTGCCGAACAACCTCCTCGTGGTGCCAGCTGGGTGGTTCGGGATATTCCCGTTCCAGCAAATGGTTCGGCGGCAGTGTTCCAAGACGTGGTGGGTTTTCGCCTGGCAAGCGTTCTCCCTATAAAAAGCCACATATATCCGTTTAACAACACTTTGACATGGCGGATGTGACTCGCCACTAAGTAAAGTCACTGCCCCTTGCTTTATCCTGGCGAAGCATTGTATCCCAGCAAATTTATGCTGTAATTCTGAGGAGCATTGGGTCCCTGTTAGACAAAGGAACAAACGAAAGGCGTATGAACTGAGCAATCAGTCACCGGCTCCCAATGGGCGCGATTCCCTGAATTCGTTCCGCTGCCTTGCGGGCAGGCTATTCAGCCAAAGGCTCGGGGTGGTGTTCCCTAAGTCAACATCCTACTTCGGCTTGGGCAACCGGGTAGTATATCGCCCTCTGACGAAACCATGGACTTTGATGTTTGTGTTGTGTTGTCTTATAATATTTATGTACCCCGTGGTTTCTGATGGCTTGATGTCTATTCGTAGACCACTGCAAATATATATATATATATATATATATATATATATGCCCCATGCTGAGGCTGATGTTGCATTCTTGATGCTTCTTCACCGCAGCTGGGCTAAACCAACTTACACCTAAACTAGATCTTTTTAAGCTGGCTAAATTTCATTCCACTTTATTTCGTTTGTTCTGCCTACCTGAATAACCTTATATTAACTGGCCACGTTGCTTGCACTAATTGCGCTTATCTTCGGTAACTTTACTTCGTTTTTAGCATTTTTAACTAACTTGTGGACATTTTTCCTTATCGCGGATTTGTTGCTAACCAACTTACTTCATATGGTAATTTAGCGAGGAGTTATTCCACCGTATCTGTAAGCATTATTGGATTTGTTTTATTTCATCTTGTCGTTTCAGGTGATTGGCTGTTGTTTGATATCCCCGGTGTGGCTGCGCTTGATGTGCATGTTGACAAGGTGCCTACCTGCCCGTTACCTACTACCTCGTTCATACTGGCTCCAGGAGACAGTTGGTCGTTGCTGAAGGGAACGGGTTGCACGGTCGTTGTGCCCGTGCTAGGCTCAAAGAGCGGTCCCATGCACTTAGTGTGGAGCGCACTACGGTCCAGCCACCGCCTTGTGTGCGGTTGATTCCCCAAATACAGCGTGTTTGTGTTTGCCTGTGAAGGAGTGTGGGCCGGCTCCGTTGATGAAACGTGGCTCCCATCCGCATGCCTCCCGGTCTTATTCCTTCGGGTTTACACTGGATATGAGGTGTATGGATGGAGCTGTGGGTGGTGCTGCGCAAGCCATCCATGGTCCCTCTGTAGGCGCAGGCGTCCTGTGGCTGGCCACAGTGACAGGCAAATCCGAAACCGGATGCCGCCAACCATGTCGTCATATGCGTTTACTTTATTCGATATCGACATTTCGAATGATTGGCTGTTTTTTTGACATCCCAAGTGTGGCTGCGCTTGATGCGCATGTTGACAAGATGCCTAACTGTCTATTACCCACTACCTCGTCCATTTGGCTCTAGGAGACAGTTGGTCGTTGCTGAAGGGGACGGGGTGCACGGTCCTTGTGGTCGTGCTAGGCTCAAAGAGTGGTTCCATGCACTCAGTGTGGAGCACACTACGGTCTAGCCACCGCTTTGTGTGCGCTTAATTCCCCAAATACAGCGTGTTTGTGTTTGCCTGTGTTTGCCCGACTCCGTTGATGAAACGTGGCTCCCATCTACATGCCTTCCGGTCTTATTCCTTAGGGTTTACACTGGATATGGGGTGTGTGGATGGAGCTGTGGGTGGTGTAGCGCAAGCCATCCGTGGTCCTTCTGTAGGGGCAGGCGTCCTGTGGCTGGCCACAGTGACAGGCAAATCCGAAACCGGATGCTGCCAACCATATATAATGTGTCAACATTTCTGTATTGCAGCACATTAGCTGAGGTGTGCTTCTCACTCTCGTCTAACGTGTACAGATGATGATGATGATGACGACGAAAATTAATAGCCAGATGAAAGAAGCCCAATGTAGGAACGCCAATGACTTCATGACTACGCCATGTCTGGTACGGTCTCCAACCATTGATGTGGACCGTCTCGAGGCCGCCATTTAGGAAGACTGCACGCACCAGCCTAACCAAGTCTCTCGGTCAATTTCTTCAAGCTTCTATGACATGTCATGGACTGGCCACCTCGCGGTTTCGCCCAACTTGGTGCGGTCACGGCGAATTATGCACACTGAAGGTTCAAAGAACATGCCAAAGCGTGCAGCACTAAGCAAAAGCCTGTGAAGTAGTGTCTGCGTAGCCACTGCGTCAGACCGAAGGAGAACTATGTCGTCCGCATACTCCAGTTTTGCCAGTCGGTCATCTGGAAGGTCCACTCCGGCAGAGTCTGAAAAAAACCGAGTCATTCATGATCATTTCGATCACAGAGTTATAGAGGAAAGCAGATGTAGGACAACGCTGGCGAAACGCACTTGTCGTGGAGAACTCAGGAGAGTTTCCCGTAGACACTTACAGGACCTTGGGAATCACGGTAGATGGACTTGTGAATGGAAAGGAGTTTAGTTGGCAAGCCCTTCATGGATAGGCAGTGCCACAAGCTGGCGCGGTCAAGAGCCGAAAGCGGCTTTCAAGTAAAGGAAAACCACCACAGTCGGTCTTCTGTAGGTGTGTTTCTGCTCTAACAGTTGGCGAAGAGTAAATATGTGGTCGATGCAACCACGACCAGGGCGGAAGACAGTTTGGCTTTCAGTGACTCTGTGCTCACGGGGAGCAGTAAGGCGTCGAACAATGATACCCGAGGGAAGCTTTGAGGCAATGGAAATAAGGCTAGTTTCTCCATGATTTTCGCATAATGTACGCTGACTCTTCTTGAAGATGGGCAAGACAGTTGATAGTCGCCAGTCTGAAGGCATTTCTTCAGTATTACAAATCGTGTTAGAAAGAGGCAATTCTAGTCAACAAACCATCACCACCACCTTTCAGCAAAGATTACCGGGTCCCGTTTCAACACGACAAGCTTATGTTGAATCTCCTCCAAAGTGGGAAGTGTCACATCTACTTCCCACGTCAGCGCAGGTGATTTGGCAAACGGCAGTGTCGCAGCAGGTCTGCTGAACTGCTCCTCGAAATGTCCCGCCCAACGGGCTAGTCAACGACGCTGAGAATAGGTCAACAGTCAATCTTTCTCAGCCATTGTCTCGCAAAAGAGCTCCGGGTAAAACTCCGTGCTAGCCTGAAGAGCTCGCGAATCCTGGTGGTCTCATCGTGCATCAGAGATGGAAATGGCCGCTTCCCTTGATAACCATAGTAAGCTATTTCGGCTTATACGGAAAACGGGCAGCAGAAGACCTGGTGTTAGTGAAACTACACATGACGAGAGTGGACAGCCTATCAACAACTTGTCAAAACGCTTGGAGCGTTGGGCTGAGCATTCTGAAAGGCAATTTAATCGGTCGGCATTGTTAGATTTCTCGCCGGCCACTGATCGCACCGCTCCCTAGGCTGTTTCTTTGGATCCACCCTTTCGCTCAGAAGTCGAAAGTGAGATCGCACTGTTGAAGTTAAATAAAGTCGCGGGACCAGATGATCTTCCTCCAGC